ACCCCCCGGGTTTTTTTTTTTTTTTTTTAGCTGTTTTTTTTCCGGGGCCGGGTGTACCGACACCTGACCCCCGGGACCCCGCCGGGACTCCGGGCCCGGGGGTTGACAACCCTGGGTATTTCACCGAGCGGACATTTTTACCGAAGGGACACTATTCCGAAGAGGTACGATCCGAAGCGGGCCTTCCGAAGAGGTACAATCCGAAGCGGGCCTTCCGAAGAGGCACGATCCGAAGCGGGCCTTCCGAAGAGGTACAATCCGAGGCGGGCTTTCCGAAGAGGTGCGATCCGAAGCGGGCCTTCCGAACAGGTATTATCCGAATCAAGCCTTTCTGTAGAGGACGCCTGAGCCAGACCTACCAGAGCGATCCCCCTCTGACGTAGCGACTGTGCGAGGGTATGGTCACCGTAGATCTGGAGCTCTGGCCTCGATGGGCGAGGGAGTCTACGTCAGACACCTAGAGCTCGAGCACGGTCCCTTGGGATCGACGGGCACGATACAGGCGACACCCAATCGGGAGGAGGATTAGACGACGCTTGTTGACTAGGTCTGTAGGGACTCAGACAGACTTCCCAGACATAGGAGCGGGGTGTACGGCTGAGGCCGGAATGAGTGTTTACCATCCCATTGTTTTGGACTGAATGGAACTACTTCTATTATTTCTGCCAGACAGTGTTTCGTGAGTTTCCTCTTGCATTGGTCACGGTCGGCTACAGTACTTGTATTTGTTGATGTGGACTGACATGTTTTGTGCAGGTTACAGGAGCCCCGACCGGCCCTCCCGCGGGTGACAGACGCGGCGCGAGGCATACGGTTCGGACGGTGTGCCGGCAGACCCCTTCTACCGGTTGACACCGTGGCCACATCTCCTTGGGCCTGTTTTCACCGGTGCAAGAATTTGGCGCTGTTTCCGCGCCAGATTCATGAACCGGTAGGGCCCTTCTTTTTCAAAATCGCTTATGTGGGCCTCATTTGACACTTCAGCGTTACCACGCCCGGCCTCTTTTACATGAAACCGGTAGGGCTCTTGGAGCCACGCGTGGGCCTGTAGTACCCCACATGCAAGTCATTGGGCCGGTAGTACCAAACGGCTAAACTTTGGGCGGCCAAAACCGAAAAGGTTTTGGCGTGGGCGTCTTCTACCGATTATCCCTGGGAATAGGGCATAGCAGCAGCGGAGATGGATGCTCTGCTGCAGTAAGTCTTGCGGGAGTAGGGTAAAGTGGATCGATGGGGAGGTTTTCTTAGCAGTTTTCTGAATTCTGTTTATATTCTGAAGTTGGTCGTAGTCATTTTCTAAGTAGCTTCGTTTTTTCTGAGCCAAAGCCGGGTAATGGCCCCGGTATCTCAATCTTCAAAATCATATGTAAATTTCCATATGGAACGCTGGGCCTGGTTCCCAGCACGTGCTGCTCCCCACGAATAGATTGGAGCCTAATAAAAAAATAGTGTTTTTGGTTTGCTTCTATTGGCATGAGCAGCCCGTTTATTGGACGGAGCTTTTTGGGGTTGGTGGTAGGAGTGTCTCAGGGGGCGGTGGCCCAGCAGCCCGTTTTAGGACTGCATTCATTCGAGTTACTGACAAGCATGAAGGGCAGAGAGCTGGATAGGAGTCTAGGCGCGCTAAGTTGTTGCTGTGCAAGGCTTAGGGCCTCGTTCGACACCACTTGGAAATTGCTGTTTCCAAGGAAGCGCCGTTCGACCCCGCCCTAATCACGCACCCTTGAAGTCGCTAATTGTTTCCACATCCCCGCGACCAAGTGTCCACCCTTGAAACGGAAGTGCGGCCCAGGCAAATCGACGAAAATCCCAAGGGTGCCTCGGGAGGTCACTTGGGGCGCAAGGGTTTCACCCTTCAAAATGCGGAATATACGGACCTTTGTCTTTTTTTCTTTTTTTCTCCACCAATCACCACTGTTCCTGATGCAATGCCGTCAGCACTTCAGTTTCAAGGACGGTGGTCTCAAGGGTTTCGTCAAGGGGTTGTGGAACGAAAAAACAAGTTAGGGGAAATTAATCACCTTCCGTGAGTTAGGGTGCCCTTGAAACTCAAGTATTTTCAAGTGGTGTCTAAAGAGGCCCTTAGTTTTAGCAGGGACTCATCTATGTTAAACTGAAGCTGAATTCCTTCCCGTGCCATGGTTCACAACCGGGTTGTTTGTTGAGGATTCCCGGCCTCAGAGCTTTTCACTGCTTTGAATAAAGGGTTCTCCACTTTTTCCCGAAAAAATAAATAAATAAATAAATCGAGTAAGTGTAAATTTTTCGTTTAGTGTGCACTTGAAACTCTCAAGCATTTTCAACTGGTGTCGAACGAGGCTCTTTCCGGTCTCATTTTCACTGTTTCCGAAGTAGTACCCTGACGCACTCACCGTAGCTGAACTATACAGCAACATCATCCCCCCAACCGCCATGATCGCTGAACTGTGGCAGCAGGGCTCCGCTGAACTGTGGCAGCAGGGCTCCGCTGAACTGTGGCAGCAGGGCTCCGCTGAATGCGTTCGAGTTCCCCTCCAATGCCACGCCTTTTTTCAATCTACTTGAACTGGGGGTCTGTTTGATCAGGTACAAAAAAAAGGGGTCCTTCGGGACATCCGTTAAAATTGGAACGATACAGAGAAGATTAGCATGGCCCCTGCGCAAGGATGACACGCATAAATCGAGAAATGGTACAAAAAAAAGGGGCTGTGGATGGTCAGGTCGTGTCATCTATATAACCGGACAAGCCACCAGAGCACGTCAGGGCGCCAGTCGTTTACGCCCTGAATAGAACTCGCGCCATTGTTGCCGAGATACTTCGGAGTGGCCTCCACAGACATGAGGGTCCTGTCTTTTGTTTTTTTGTTTTTTTTTTCGTTGTGAAGGTCCTGTCTTGTTGGTGAGGCCTACGCCGGCCTGCCAAGAGGCAGCAATAATCGACTTCTGGCGCACAGATGCCCGAAGCGGCGCGGCGCGAGTCTGTCGTGCAGCTATTGGGCGTCGGCACGCCACACCACTCACCAATCATGACAGAACTATGGCGGGTGTACTTTCGCACGTTCAAGGGCAGCATAGGGCCTCCGCTCGACTACTCTTTCTTCGACATGCATGAAAGACAATAATCATGGCGGCGTATCTTTCCATGTTCTAGGGGAAGATTCACTCTCATTTTGCACATTTCGAGAGAAGTAGAGCGAGTCCAATGCTTTTCTTCTTCTTCTTTTTTTTTTTTTTTTTTTTTTTTTTTTTTTTGAGACTGAAAGTTCATCAAGACACGGCTATGATTGGCCCATCTTTGCAAAAATTTTGCAACCCTAACCTTCTCCCCGAACCAATGAGCCTACCGTAGCTCGGTTGGTACACCCATGAACTGTTGAGATACAAGACCTGAGTTCGAACGGGATGCAATGAGATGACCAGAATAATGTAATTCTGAATTACCTGGGGCCGATCAGCTCAGTGACGATATCTCAAGGCCGTCACTGCTTTCTGATGGAACACCCCCCCCCCCCCCCCCCCCCCCCCCCCCCCGACGTTGATTGTTCTTTTAAAAGGGAGAGCGATCTGAGATCCATGAATCCTTCACCAAAGCAGCTCTGCGGAGTGTGATACTAGGGACGGCCATTCGACTGTGGTGCGTGTGCGTCCCTGTGTGCACGAGTGAGTCTCTTTCCGTGCCGGCGCTGGCCGCTTGGTCGTCTGCGGGGTAGGGGTAGTGAATCTAGTGATTGACTGGATTCCCCCTCGGGCGCAACGACACAGGGCGAGGATGGCGAGCTCCATGGCAGGCGACCTGGTTCCCCGCCCAGAGAAGGTCCCCGCGATTACTCGCTTGCACAGCACGACGGATCGCGTGAAAAATGCCATCTCGGAGTATCGGAACGCGATCACGCATCTTCTCTCCCGCTACGTGGCGAATGGGAGGCGCATGCTTCAGCCACACGAGCTGACGAGCGAGCTGGACCGCCTGGCCGATCTCGAGTGCTTCGCTGGTATGAACATCAGTGAGAGCGCTTTCGCGAAGCTCATACGGGCGACGCAGGCGGCTGTCGTGATCCCTCCTTGCATCGCGCTGGCAGTGCGGCCACGCGTCGCCGAGTGGCAGTACATTCGCGTGAACGCCTTCGATCTCTCTGTGGAGCAGCTCAGTCCCTCGCAGTACTTGGAGTTCAAGGAGCGTGTGAAGACCGGCGACGACGATCAGCTTGCTCCTGTGTGCAAGGACCTCGCCATGCTGGAGATTGACATGGAGCCCTTCAATGCGAGCTTCCCGAGACTTACCCGCCCCTCGTCGATCGGCGAGGGCGTGTCGTTCCTGAACAAGCACCTGGCTACACGGATGTTCAAGGGGCCCGCGGAGCTTCAGCCTCTGCTAGACTTCCTGCGGACCCACAAGTGCGTCGGGGAGACTCTGATGCTGAACGAGCGCATCGACACTCTCGAGAAGCTCCGCAGCAACCTCGCCAAGGCGGAGGAGTACTTGGGCGCCCTTCCTGTTGACACGCCTGTTGGGAGCGTGGCGACCACGCTGCAGGAGTTGGGCTTCGAGCGCGGTTGGGGTGACACGGCCGGGAGGATCAAGGAGATGCTGGACATGCTGTCGGACCTGATGCAGGCACCGGACGCTGACTTGCTGGAGAAATTCCTTGCTCGCATCCCACTCGTCTTCAACGTCGCCATCATGTCGCCACACGGCTATTTCGGGCAGGCCAACGTGCTCGGTCTGCCTGACACCGGCGGGCAGGTGGTGTACATTCTGGACCAGGTGAAGGCGCTGGAACGGGACCTGCTGAAGCACAGCAAGCAGCAGGGACTGAACTTCAAGCCCCAGATCATTGTGCTGACGCGGCTGATTCCAGACGCTCAGGGAACGTCCTGCAACCAGAGGATCGAGCACATCGACGGCACACAGTACTCGAAGATCCTTCGCGTGCCCTTCAAGAGCCCCAAGGACGGAAGCGTGCTGCGCAAGTGGGTTTCCCGCTTCGACGTCTGGCCCTACATGGAGCAGTTCACGGAGGACTCCGTGCACGAGCTGCGCGCTGAGTTCGGCGGCAATCCGGACCTCATCATCGGCAACTACAGCGACGGCAATTTGGTGGCTGTCCTGCTCGCGCACAGGCTGAAGGTGACGCATTGCACCATCGCCCACGCGCTGGAGAAGACCAAGTACCCCAACTCCGACCTCAACTGGAAGGATCTCGAAGAGAAGTACCATTTCTCTTGCCAGTTCACGGTTGACCTGATTGCCATGAATCACGCCGACTTCATCATCACGAGCACGTTCCAGGAGATCGCCGGGCGGGCTGACACCGTGGGGCAGTACGAGTCTCATCTGGCGTACACAATGCCGGGGCTGTACCGCGTTGTGAACGGCATCGACGTCTTCGATCCCAAGTTCAACATCGTCGCCCCTGGCGCCGACGCCGACACTTACTATCCCTACTTCATCAAGGAGAAGAGGCTGACGGCGTTCCACCCGGAGATCGAGGAGCTGCTGTATGGGCCGACGGAGGACGACAAGCTGTGCCGCGGCGTGCTCAAGGATAGGAGCAAGCCCATCATCTTCACCATGGCGCGTCTGGACAAGGTGAAGAATCTGACGGGGCTGGCAGAGATGTTCGGCAAGAGCCCGCGCCTGCGCAAGCTGGTCAACCTGGTCATCGTGGGAGGCTACATCGACCCGTCTCTGTCCATGGACAGAGAGGAGGTGCACCAGATMAACGAAATGCACGCCGTCATTGACAAGTACGGGCTGGACAAGGGCGACATGCGGTGGATCGTGGCACAGAAGCACCGGATGCGCAACGGAGAGTTGTACAGGTATATCGCCGACACCAGGGGCGCTTTCATTCAGCCGGCGTTCTACGAGGCCTTCGGTCTCACAGTGGTGGAGGCCATGACCTCGGGGCTGCCGACGTTCGCCACCTGTCACGGAGGCCCCGCAGAGGTCATCAAGCACGGCGTTTCGGGATACCACATCGACATGTACCGACCGGAGGAGGTGGCGGACTTGATCGCCGACTTCTTCGAGAGGTGCAAGACGGATCCAAGCGAGTGGGAGAGTCTGTCGAAGGCGGGACTGGAGAGGATCTACAGTAAGTTCACGTGGGAGATCTATGCGGAGAGGCTGATGACTCTCTCCCGTGTCTACACGTTCTGGAAGTTCGTGTCCAACCTGGAGAGGAGGGAGTCGAGGAGGTACATCGAGATGTTCTACAATCTCATGTACAGGGACCGTGTCCAAACGGTGCCCGTCGCCKCCGAGCGATGATGAGTAGAAGCTGGCAATCAAAGTKAGATCACCGCCGTRTGTTTGCTGTCTCTGGTCGTATGAYTGTGTTCKGTTCTSCCTCTGCGGCGGAGCGAATGCCAGCCGGCGTCAACATTGGGTGTAGAGCGAGGTTTTGCGTTGTCTTGCCCCGAGGGCCAATGCAATTCACGCTGCCCAGGGAGGCTATCAGCGAACGGAGTGGGGAGCAGTGGGTGGTCTTGCTGGACGGAAGTCGTATTTGAGTGAGTAATGAAAAGGAAAGCGGCGAAGAAGGCATTCACAGGGCTGTCAATTGCGTTTTCAGTCATTAAAATCAGGGCCTCGTTCCACTGTTTGCCAGATCTGAAGTGGGCGAGTGAATCTTCTGCCATCTTCGGCTACAACATTGCATACACAGCTGCAGCGATGTTCTGATTCGGTGAGCGCGGGAACGAGGCCCTGATTTGGTGAGCGCGGGAACGAGGCGGCCCTGATGTGCTGAGCGCGGGAACGAGGCCCTTAGCAAGAAGGGGAGGAAAACGAGCCAGGCAAGTGAGTCGGGATCTGGGCGGAAAGTGGTCCCGAAAAATATTTTATGTCAGAACGGGTGTGCACTGCAGCGAGTGAATGACGGAAAACGATTTCGAGGTAGATGCCAAAATGGGTGGAACAAAAAGGGGGAAAACATAGGGTGAGCAATACGTGCAAGAGGTTGTGATATTTGGAAACAAACTTGAGGAAGATAGGTAGTTGGTATCTCGGAATTTGGATTTTCGCTCCACTTTTTGTAGGTGTAGTTCATTTGGATTTCAGTTTGATTTTAGCACCTAGAAATTCTCGTTATGATGATTGAAGGGGAGAGGGGACTCACCCGAACACAAAGTGGGAAGACAGACACACTCACACAGACAGTCTTGCATAAATCGAAAGTAGACAAACACGGAGAGAGAGAGAGAGAGAGAGAGAGAGAGAGAGAGAGAGAGAGAGAGAGAGCTGCGAGAGAGAGAGAGAGCTGCGAGAGAGAGAGAGAGAGAGAGAGAGAGAGAGAGAGAGAGAGAGAGAGAGAGGCAAGCCTTTAGTAGGCTGGCATTTCGGATATTTTTTGATGACGACGTTGAGATTACTTAAGATTGTGATGCAATAATCGACTCTTGCTTGTCGCCGCTGGCAGGGTTTTATTACATGCCGGCCTTGACATAGCCGTCATTGTATCATCTGCTTCGTAATCTGAACTCTCTTTGTTCTGCTATGGTACGTGTCTCTCTCTCTTTGTGCATGCTACAATGCTAGGGCTTTTCTTTTTTCTGTTTTTGTTTTTGTTTTTGTTTTTTCCCTTGAAAAACTCTTCTTTGATCAGCCTATACGGCTGGGTTTTTTTTTTTTCTTCTTTTTTGAACAATTATGTATATTTTATCAAATATTAGGCAAAATTCAGAAAAAGAGGCAGAAACCCCCCTTCAATCCTCTTTACCTCACTCTGGCAAGACTTACTGCAGCAGAGCCACCATCTCTGCTGCTGCTGTACCCTATTTCCATCCTACGAGCTAGCCCCCTCACTAATAGGACGCTTGGTCTCCAACCATCTACTTATCCCGCTCACCTCTTTTTTTGAGAAAAAAATAAGAAAAAAGCGTATGCACAATTCCGGAAACGACTCAGACACCACCCCCAATCAATCCCCTCTACCCCACTCCGGCAAGACTTACTGCAGCAGAGCCACCATCTGTGCTGCTGCTGTACCCTATTCCCATCCTACCAGCTAGGCCCCTCAATAGTAAGACACGTGATCTCCCACCATCTCCTTCTTCCTCTCCCCTCGAACTCTTTTTTTTTTGAGATACTGGGGCCATTACCCGGCTTCGGCTGAGAAAACGTCTGAGAACACTTTCGACAATTCGGGAAACATAGGAATAGACCGCAGCGGTCGTACACATCCTAAAAAACCCTTGAAATGGCTAACAAAACCTTCCAAGGCTCTTCAACACTGTCTTACCCCCTGCCGAGCTCTTCCAGGACTCGCACCCCGGCGTCCAGTTGGGTTACAGGGCAACACAACTCACCCCAGCTCAGACCAGTGTCGTCCCAGCAGCAATCCTTGGTTGTCCCGTGGGATGCCCACCCCAAAGAATCCCCACATCTCTCTACCAGGCCTCACGCTCCTGCGTCAGCAGGTTACAGGGCAACACCCCAGCACCGGCCAGCGTTGTCCTGGCATCGAACAGCTTCTGATCACTGAGTATGGGCCTCGTTAGACACTCCTCACGGTTTCCTTGAGCAAAAAGGAAACGTCCTTGTGGATTTTTACGGGAATTTGCGGCGTCGTTCCACTCATCCTTGGGGACGTTCTCCGAGGATGTTTCCTTGTGGCTTCCCCATGGCCACTTTCATACGTAAATTAGCGGCCGCGAGGTCGGACGTCCTTGGTCCAGCTTCTTTTGTCCGTCCGGAGGCGGCGTGGTCCAGCGACGCGAGGCGGGAAACGGCAGACGGCGGGCGACTCGGAAAGAAATTTAACCAGAAGGGCGTGGGCATTTCAAATTCAAAATTCGAACGACTGCTGCGACGACGACGTGTGCCTGGCGGCGCGACGGTGGCGTGCTGCGGAAAGGGGCTGAGCGGCGGKGGAGGTTCCGTCCCCAGGCCGTTGCGACTGCACGGGCAGTGTTTGGTGCTTCCATTGCCGTGGACCTTTGCACACGTCGACTGCACGTTGCTCCTCTTTGCCGTTTGCGGGACTGTAAACATAGAAAAGGGGCCGCCTTTCGTCGGACGTCTTCGACTTCTTGGACGCGTGCGGAAGTACGACACAGACGGCAGCGGGACGACGGGACCGTTTGGACGTCGCGGCTATGGAGGGCGGCCCAGAGGGTAGACGTGATCCGTTGAGTCATCGTGAGCTGCAGGCCGTGGCGACAGCCGTGTCTACAATCGTTCTTCGATGTGAGCAGGAGAGGGCGCTGGGGCGACTGAAGGAGCAGTTGCGCGCGCGTAGGCGGAGGAAATTGACACAAGATCCGTTCGATGGGGCCGATTACGTGGCGACGTTGGAGGCTGTTGTTCAGCTGTGCTACGCGTTGGGTTGCGGAGTGATACCACGTGCGACGCCGTGGTGGTGGGTGAAGCGTAGGACCGAAGGCACGTGGGAAGACCTCAGGCAATGCGACGACGCGACAGACGACTACTTCCGGGATAAGCTTCGAATGTCGCCGCGAGTGTTCAGGGAAATCGCGGAGGCGTGTGCGCCTCATCTTCAGCGCCAGGTCACGTTCTATAGGGAGCCTTTGCAGCCGGACCAGATTGTGGCGTACGCACTGTATAGGTGGGCTTCAGGAGAAACTTACGAGAGCAGCACGTGCAACTTCAGGATTCGCCGAGCTTCTGGTTGATTGTCGTCCGCGACGTTACTGCCACGCTGCTAAGAGTGTTCACAGAGAAGATCGCGTGGCCGACAGGACTTCGTAAACTCGTCGTTCTGCGGGCGTTTGCTGATAAAAATTTCCCCAACTGCCACAGTTGCATTGATTCAATTTGATTGTACTCACATCTACGTCGATAAGCCGGCGAACGCCCCGAGCGAAAACTACTACAACAGGAAGCGCCGTTTCTCCATCGTCCTGCAGGTTGTCGTCGACCTGGACTTGCGTGTGCTCGACGTGCACATGGGATACCCAGGTAACTGCCACGACATCAGGGTGCTGCAGTCCAGCCTGTCGCTGCGCGCAGAGGAGGGGTCGTTGTTCCCTGGTCCCCCCGTCACACTGCTCTGGCGGACAATGGGTTCCCCCCTTCCGAATGGATGGTCGTCCCGTATGGAGGCATCAATCAGCACGTCGACGAGGAGCGGTTCGACAACAAACAGAAGGTGGCGAGGGGAGCGGTGGAGAGGGCGTTCGGCAGATTGAAGGGCATGTGGCGGCTGTTTCTGCGGACACACAAGACAAACCTGGACACGCTCCCGCAGCAGTTCACCGCCGTGTGCATACAGCACAACATGCTGATCGACGCAGGAATCCCCTTCGACGAGAATCTGCTATGGGAGGTCGACGCCAATGGTGTGCGACGACGTGTGGACCTGGGGATCGAAGAGCCCCTCCAGCCTGTGTCGATGATGACGTCGACAGACGAAGCGTTGGCGCTGAGGGATGCTTTGGCGGAACGATTGAAACACGATTGAGTCGTGTTTCATTCGTGTGGAAGTGCATTCATTGCAGCAATGGGCGGAGGGCATATTCCTTGTTCCGTCCTGCCTTCATTGGGTCGTTATCGTCTGTACCCTGTCGACGTTGGTGGTTTGCGTGGAGGGTCGTGTTCAGTGCCGTACCCCCGTTCACCGTTCACGGGGTCTGTGAACGGAGCCGGTCATAGAGTTCACAAAGTTCACGACACGGGAGTTCATGGAGTTCACGGAGAGCGGTATTTTTTTTATTTTTTTTTTTTGGCTGGAGGGGATATGTTTTTTTTTTTATAGGAGGGTGGGGGATATCGAAGGGTTACTCCCTATAATTTTTTCAAAAAACAATTTTCACGAATAATATATTGTTTTTAATTAAAAACGAAAAAAAAAAAATCCACCAGCCAAAATAAGCATTTTCTTTTGCTATTTTGTAGGTCATTTCGATTTTTTTTTTTTTCAATGTCACCACGCTGTGGGGCTTGAGGTGAATGTACCTGGGGGAGCCAAAAAAAAAAAACAAAAAAAAACAAAAAAAACCACCACTCTTTAGTGGTCGGCCCGTTCAGCGTGAACGGCCGTTCACCAAAAAAACACCAAATGAACAGCCGGTCACGTTCAAGTGACCGGTGCCGGTCACGTTCACGGGTCCGGCACTGGTCGTGTTCCCCTTGCTGGACGGTCGCGCGTGGAAGCGCGTTCACTGCAGTCGCCGGAGGGCAGATTAGTTGTTCCGTCCAGCCGTGATTGGGTTGCTAGCTTTTGTCCTCCGTCGGGTTGGTAGTTTGCGTCGAGGGTCGTCTTGGGTTGCCGTCGCGATTCGCGGACGTGCATCGTGGCCCTTTTTTTTTATTATAGTTGTTGCCGTTGGAGTTGTGCAGTGCG